TGTATCATTGGCAATTATTAAATTATAGAACAAGAAAAAAATGTCTGAAAGATCCTAAGGCTTTAGTTTGTTTCTTGAACCATGAAGCCAAAACAGAGAAGAGGCAGGTGGGTTAAGCACAGAAAGAGGTCAGTCTGAGGATCAGGGGTGGTTGTGGTAGTGGTTGAGGGGTGTCATAAGTTGCTTGCAAAGAGGAATGGACAGAAAATAATGAAGGCTGGGGCACCAGAGATCTGTGAAGTGTTGTCTAGGAGAGCACGCCATTGCTGGAGCTTAATCAGGTCCAGAGTCTGTGGCCTGGTAATGGGTCTTACCTTAACTGGACAGTCTGACTTCCTGCTCTTCCTGCTTCTTGATGAGACATCCAATTGCCAATTACTGTACATCTACTCTGAACAAGCTGCAGCCCTTGCCCTCCAGTACCCTGTGGTCCAGATGTAAAAAGAGTTGATGATTTTAGTAGAATTTGGAATGATTTCCTACAGATTTCTGGACTTAGCATAAAGAGGAAAGAAGTTTAGGCAGCATCAGCTGCAGAAAAAGATAGATCAGGTTAGCTGTTGTAAGAGACAAGAATATTCAAAGTTATGGATCATTTTATTAAAAGTGCAGCTCAAGCCCTGGCCAGGTGGCTCAGTTTGTTGGAGCATTATCCTGTATACAGGAAGGGTGCAGATTCAAACCCTGGTCAAGGCATATACCTAGGTTATGAGTTCGATTCTAGTCAGGGTGCATACAGGAGGCAACCAATCGATGTTTTTCTCTCACATCAATATTTTTCTTTCTCTCTTCCTCTCTCTCCCTCTCTCTCCCTGTTCTTCCTCTCTCTTTAAAACATATATCCTTGAGTGAGGATTTTTTAACAAATGTACGTTTCCAGTAACGATTGTTTATAGACTACTTAGACCTCACAAACACACCTTGATACAGGAATTACATAACAGAGATGCTGTCAGGAGAACGTGGTTCACATTTTGCTGACTAGGCTCTTTATACAATATTAACATAGACAAGTGTTCTGATAGTTTTGTCCAGTCCGTTAGTTCACAGTTAAAAAACTGGAATACATTGCACTACAGTTTCAAAGCCAAGCGGGTAAAGGTGTTGCAACTAACTTCACTGAATTTTTAGAGCACTGATATATGACTATAATTTTCTTCTGCCAGGTTGGTAATAGATCTGTATTTGTGTACTCTTAATGTGAAAAGATGCTCAGGAGGTTTCTGGCTGTCATTACAGTGGCTTCCCCAAATGGTGAATCATAGTTCATGCTTGCTTTATGAAGATCTCAAAGTTAGGGAGAGGAATGAGTTCATTTGGGAAAGCTGCCTGTGTCCTGATGAAGTCTGACCTGATAACTTGATAGTGAGAAACCACAACAACCTTCTGGAATTGAGAGACCTAATTCCCCTGATTAAAATAATTCAATGACTTTCCAATACTCTTGAAATAAAATGAAATTGTCTTATCTTGAATTACAAATTTCTTCATGATCTAGTCCCTGTTTATCTCTTCAGCCCCATTTAAAGTCATTTTACTCTAATCTACATGCTCTAATCACTATTTTTTTAAAAAAATTATTAAATTTCTTTGAGTGACATTAGTTACTCAAACCATTAGTTACTAGAAACCTATAAAACTATATAGGTTTCAAGTGTACAATTCTATAACACATTATCTTTATATTGAATTGTGTGTTCACCATCCAAAGTCAAATATTCTTCTGTCACCATATATTTGACCGTTTTTACTCTCTTCAACCTTCCCTCAGCCACCTCTCCCTCTGGTGACCACCATACTGTTTTCTGTGTCTATGAATTTTTGTTTGTTTGTGTTTTTCAGTTTTTACCCCACGTAACTGTAAATTCATATTTTTGTTGACATTTTTTGTCTGACTTATTTCAGTTAGCATAATATTCTCAAATTCCATTCATGTTGTCTTAAAAGACACTATTTAGTCTTTTCTTATGGCTGAGTTGTATTCCATTGTATGTATGTACCACATCTTCTGAAGATCTCATACAGTAAACTATTTTAATTTCCCACACTGAGCCATAGTCTCTCCTACTTGTGTCTTTGTATTTATCTTCCCTCTTTGCCATCCCTGCCTCTGCCCTCTTCATCTTGTTCACTCCTGCTCTTTTGTTCAAACCTCACCTTAGGCATCACCTCTCCAAAAAAACATAAAATCTTGAGAACAGTTAAGGTGTCTCTCCTGTGGGTCCATAATACCTCATCATCAGTTATTTTATAACACCAGGCATTTGGGTGAAATTTAGATTCTTCATTTACATGACTTCTCTAGTTTTCCCAACTGCTTGAAGCCAGAAACCTTAGTTTGCTAACCAACAAACATCCAGCTCCTAGGACAGTAGTTATCTCTGAACAGCTGGTCAATAAATATTGAAATACTTAAAGAGATGAATAGATTAATTGAGAAATATGACCCAGAAAAATAATCCTATTTCAAGCGACTGTCTTTCCTTCACTATTGCAGTCACTTCACATACTCCCTGCAAAGGGACTCACCCTCTTCATAACCGATGGTTGATTCTCACAGGCACGTATGAATCATTTCATAGATTGGGTACATTCTTGATGAGGTTTATTTTAACATCTTTTTTAATTCTGTAATTTGAATTCTAGTTTCACCTAGATATGTATCTATTTTTCCAAAAGCACCAATTACTTTTTATATTTTAGTTGAAATGGTGCTGCTCCTCTTCCCTACTCCTTACATTTCTTCAAACTTTATAGTTAGTAAAATGTGTGCATAAGAAAAACACAGTTTTACAGAAAGTATAGATTGGGCAAATAAAAAATATATGTAAATTTCAAATAACTTCTCACTACATTTTTCCTTTTAACATATTTGGTTTTATTAATGAGAAGCTTAACTAAATGATTTGCAAGTATGTTTGCCACAGTATAAATTTAAGCCTGAAACTCATTTCTACTAAATGTTAGCAGGGAAATTTTGAAAAAAAAATGTAGATATGCTGGAATATATAATGACTATATCTTCTTCATTATTTTTCTTTCTTTGTCATTTTGTTACATTTTTGTATAACGGCTAAGGGATTTTCTTTACAAATAAATAAAAAAATAAAATAAAGTGCTTTGGATTTCATTATAGACAACTCAAACTCCCTTCGATCTGCGTATTTGTGAGCCTTCTCTTCCCTCTGGAGACTGCTCTTTAGCATCAGCAGCTGAGAAATCAATCGAATAGGGACTGTGACTTTCTGTCTGTCTCCTCTGTTCTCTCTTAGAATGTAAAAGAAAGTCATTTATCCTCTCGTGACTCTTCTGCCAGTACATGATGAAGGCTTTGCAAAGTGTCATTGAGTTGGGACATTCATCAATTACAGTCTTGCTTCTTCACTTGCCCAAGACTCTCACACTCCAGTACCTGGGATGTAAGCAAAGATAATGCCTTTGATTTTCATATTGACCTTGGTTATCTTAAACTGGCTCATTCCATGGGGGCTCTTTCCAGACCAAATGGCCTACCAGTGACCTCACCTGCTATAGCTCAAGATCTCTGATTTTGCAGGTCTTCCTTCATGAATACAAATGTGCCCACTCATGCTTTCTTTCCTCCTTCCCCCTAACCATATCTGTGACAATGAAATGAGTGATGACATTTCCTTAATTTCAATGACATCTTATAGTTCATAAAAGGCCTTTATAAAATAATACATTTAGTAGGTATAGTATTATACAAAGGATTCCAACTTTGGAATCAAAAGTTTTAGGAATTTGCAACCTGTTTTTACCATTTATTTGCTTCATTTCTAGGGATAGTCATTTAAATTTTTGTGTTCTTATTTGTAAAATGCAGGTAATATTTACTTCATAGCCATGATGTGCATATTTATTTGTTTGTTGATTTGCTTGTTTATTTATTTTGCAAGTATTTAAATGTCAGATCCTCTTCAGGAAATACAGTATAGAAGACAGACCAGGTTCCTTTCTTATATAACTTTCATTCATATTGATGACTTAGACAAAATAAGTATAAAGATTTTACAATACTAGGTGCATGGCATTGTATATATCAAGTAACTGTCACACAGTAGATCTCAAAAAAAAGCATATTTTTTGTGTTATTTCTATTACAATTGCAGGTATTAAGATTTTAATCAGTTTATTTTCCTTATTCTTTTTATTAAAGGAAGTGATGGCTTTGTGTTGTGGCAACTTCACTGTTCTGAACTTCAATCCCTAGAGTTCCTTTTCTAAGATGTTTCCCATTAGAGCTAGCTGCAGGGATATCTCTCAAGAGAGCTAGAAGATGAAAAGTAGGCGGCAACCAGTTTGTAACAAACACACATCTTCCCCAGTTATTCAATCAAACACTGACTATGACTGCTGTCAAGGGATCTACAGATCTAATTAAAGCCTTTAATCAATACACTTTAAGTTAATCAAAAGGGAGACTATGTGGGGTGGGCCGGATTTAATCACTTGGAAGCCCTTTAAAAGAGGACTGACTTAGGCCTTCCCTGATCTCTTAGACACCAAGCAGTAGCTGAATCCTGCTTGCAGAACGCCAGCCTGTGAGCAGCAGGCTCCAGCTCATGCTGGTGGGTTCCAGCTGGCTCATGACCCGCCCTTCTTGCTATCTGTTCTAAGGGTTTTAGGCTTCAAGTATAGAACTTTAAATATATTTAATACAGTTAGTTTACTCCATGCATATATATATTTTTTTGTATTAGGTAATTTTTATTGTTTTGTCTTTTAATAGATAATACATTCACATTGTTCAACATTTAAAATCTACATGTGGATTAACAGTAAAAAGACTTCTTTTACTTTTAATCCCCTAGTTCTAGTTTTCTTCCCTAAGACAACCAATATTATCACGTTCTTATATACTCTCCAGAAGAAGTTTATAAAGTTTCTGGATATATTAGCTTATATATATGTATGTATGTATTTGTGTTTCTCCCTTTTTTGCATTTAACAATATGTATTGGAAAGAAATATTTTCAAACAGCACATCTTTGTGATAACCCCATATCATTCATTATATAATAACACAGAGATTCTTCATTTTCACATGGCTACACAGAAAGTACCCATGGTATCAATTTATCATAATTTCTCTAATAGTCCCCCAACTTTTGCTATAAAAATAAGTCCATAACAAAATTGTATATACATATTCTTCCCTATTTGCAAGATTGATTACTGAAAGTAGAATAGCTAGGTCATAAGGTAACAGGTTAGTTTTTGACTGTTGGTATCAACTCTTTTAGGGATGACTTTTGTTCTTCAGAGGCTGCCACTCTTTCCCCTTCTCAATGAGCTGAACAGCTCTCAGCAAACTATCCTGCAGAGCCTGGTTCTTTACCATGTTTGTGACCATGAAAGTGACATCCCTAATGTACACCCGTCTCACTTTGGCACTGTAGTGTTCTGCCTTGTTACCGTGTGCAATAAAGAAGGTACAAAGTGCTAAGATATCTCCTTCTTGCAGCCCACACTCCTCCAGCACAGACTCCCACACAACTCTAATGCACTTGTTCTTGGCTTTTCGTCTAAGGACAGAGGCTAAGGTGGGAAGACCTCTTACCAGGTCTGGCAGCTTCTCAAGTACACGAGTGTGCAAGCAGATGAGTACTTCAATGACATAGCTATATATAATATTCAATTCCATTGAAGTGAACTTGAGTGCCAAAACTGCTGTCCACAGCTCATCTTGGGCTGCTTTGCTTGCCAACATCTTGCTATGATGTTCAAATTTTTGTGTCAGATTATCCTTGGTGAAGTCTAGTTGTTTAAACTGTGCTTTTAAAGCTTGGAGTTTGTGGTCTAATCTATAGGATAAAAGAATCAAAGTTTAGTTTTTAGGTCAGGGGACAAAATTAAGGTGATGCCTAAGATGAGATTATGTTATTCATAAACACTACAATTAGGGTAGCTATTTACCATTCTTTCTTTCCATCATTCTGTTTCTTGCATTCCTTTTTTTAATCATATTTTATTTTATTTTAAAAATTATTGTTCCATTACAGTTGTCCCCATTACTCTCCCCTGCCTTACCCACCCCCACCTGCCACATCCAATCTGCCCCCTTCCACATTCTTTATCCATGGTCCTTTGTACGTGTTCCTTAACTTGGTCCTTCCCCTTCTTTCCCGGGTTATCTCCCTTCCCTCTCCCTTCTGGTCACTGTCAATTTGTTCTTTATTTTCATGTCTCTGGTTCTATTTTGCTCTCTTGTTTGTTTTGTTGATTAGGTTCCACATATAGGTGAGATCATATTTGTCTTTCACAGCCTGGCTTATTTCACTTAGCATAATACTCTCCAGTTCTATCCATGCTGTTCTTATATTGCCAAATTTTTGAATTGTCTACTTGATTCATCTGACATGTTTTGTCTGTGTATTATAATTTTTTTTCTTTTTCTATTTTTCTTTTTTTAAATTTTATTTTATTTTTTCAAATACATTTGTCTCTGCCTCCCCGCCACCACTTTCCCTTGCCCCCTCCCTCCTCCCCTCCCTCAGCTCTTCCCCTTTGGTTTGTCCATGAGTCCTTGCTATATGTTCCTTGATTTTCCCCTTCCCTTCCTTGTCCCTGCCCTCTTCCCTCCTTCCCTCTTGTCTCTGTTGATTTCTTTTCCTTTCAGTGTTCCTGGTCTTATTTTCCTTGCATCTTTGCATTGTTGGTTAGGTTCTGCTTATAGGTGAGATCATATGGTATTTGTCTTTCGCACCCTGGCTTACTTTGCTTAGCATAATGCTCTCCAGTTCCATCCATGCTGTCGCAAAATTTAGTAGTTCTTTTTTTCTTTCTGCTGCATAGTATTCCATTGTGTATATGTACCATTACTTTTTGATCCAATCATCTACTGATGGGCATTTAGGTTGCTTCCAACACTTGGCTATTGTAAATTGTGCTGCTGTGAACATTGGGGTGCACAGGTTCTTTTGTATTGGCGTTTCAGGATTCTTAGGGTATAGTCCCAGCAGGGGAATCACTGGATCAAAAGGCAGTTCCATTTTCAGCTTTTTGAGGAAATTCCACACTGCTTTCCACAGTGGCTGCACCAGTCTGCATTCCCACCAACAGTGGACTAGGGTTCCCTTTTCTCCACAACCTCACCAGCACCTGTTGTTTGTTGATCTGTTTATGATGGCCATTCTGACCAGTGTGAGGTGGTACCTCATGGTGGTTTTGATCTGCATTTCTCTGATGGCTAGTGATGCCGAGCATCCTTTCAAATGCCTCTGGGCCCTCTGCCTCTCCTCCTTGGAAAAGCGTCAGCCCAGGTCCTTTGCCCATTTTTTGATTGGATCGTTTGTCTTCTTGGAGTGGAGTCGAGTGAGTTCTTTATATATCTTGGAGATCAAACCTCTATCTGATGTATCATTAGTGAATATATTTTCCCATACGGTTGGCTCCCTTTTCATTTTGCTGATGTTTTCTTTCGCCGTGCAGAAGCTTCTTATTTTGATGAGGTCCCACTTGTTTATTCTTTCCTTTATGTCCCTTGCTTTAGGAGACATATCAGTGAAAAAATGGCTGCATGGGATATCTGAGAGTTTCCTGCCAGTGTTCTCCTCTAGGACTTTGATGGTGTTGTGACTTATATTTAAGTCTTTTATCCATCTTGATTTTATTTTTGTGTATGGAGTCAGCTGATGATCCAATGTCAATTTTCTGCATGTAGCCGTCCAGCTCTCCCAGCACCATTTGTTGAAGAGGCTATTATTGCTCCATTTTATGTTTCTGCGTCCTTTGTCAAATATTAGATGCCCATAAGACCTGGGCTTATTTCTGGGCGTTCTATTCTGTTCCACTGGTCTATGGGTCTGTTCTTGTGCCAGTACCAGATTGTTTTGAGTATGGTGGCTTTGTAGTAGAGTTTGATGCCCGGTATTGTGATCCCTTCTACTTTGTTTTTCTTTCTCAAAATTGCTGCAGGTATGCGGGGTCGTTTATGGTTTCATATAAATTTTTGAAATGTCTGTTCTATTTCTGTGAAATATGTCATTGGTATCTTAATAGGAATTGCTTTGAATCTAATAATTGCTTTGGGTAGTATGGACATTTTGATGATATTAATTCTTCCAATCCATGAGCACGGTATATGCTTCCATTTATTTCTGTCTTACTTAATTTCTTTCTTCAATGTTGTATAGTTTTCTGCGTACAGGTCTTTTATGTCTTTGGTTAAATTTATGCCTAGGTACTTTATTTTTCTTCTTGCTATATTGAATGGTATTTTTTTTCTGATTTCTTCTTCTTCTATTGCATTGCTGGTGTACAAAAATGCCTTTGATTTCTGAATGTTGACTTTGTATCCTGCTGTTTTGCCAAATTCACTTATTAGGTTGAGGAGTTTTTTGGTAGAGTCTACAGGGTTCTCTATGTACACTATGATGTCATCTGCAAACAATGAGAGCTTTATGTCCTCCTTTCCTGTTTGGATGCCTTTTATCTCTTTCTTTTGTCTGACCACTGTGGCTAGAACTTCCAATACCATGTTGAAAAGAAGCGGTGAGAGTGGACATTCTTGTCTTGTTCCTGAAATTAGTGGGAAAGCTTTCAGTTTTTGCCCTTTGAGTATGGTATTGGCTGTAGGTTTTTCATATATGGCCTTTATTACTTTAAGGAATGCCCCATTTATTCCCATTTTGCTGAGTGTTTTGATCATAAATGGGTGCTGTACCTTATCGAATGCTTTTTCTGCAACTATCGAGATGATCATGTGGTTTTTCTCTTTTCTTTTATTTATGTGATGTATCAATTTACTGATTTGCGTATATTGAACCATCCCTTCATCCCTGGGATGAACCCGACTTCATCGTGGTGGATAATCTTTTGAATGTATTGCTGGATGCGGTTTGCCAATATTTTGTTGAGGATTTTTGCATATATGTTCATCAGCAAAATTGGCCTGTAGTTTTCTTTCTTTGTAGGGTCTTTATCTGGTTTTGGGATCAGGGTGATGCTGGCCTCATAGGAAGAGTCTGGGAGTCTTCCCTCCTCTTGGATTTTTTGGAGTAGTCTGAGAAGGACAGGGGTTAGCTCTTCCTTAAATGTTTTTTAAAATTCTCCTGTGAAACCGTCCGGCCCTGGGCTTTTGTGTGCTGGGAGTTTCTTGATGACTGCTTCAATTTCTTCAACTGTTATCGCTCTGTTCAAGCTTTTTGTTTCTTCCTCCTTCATTGTTGGAAGCTTATACTTTTCTAAAAATTTGTCCATTTCATCAAGATTTTCAAATTTCGTGGCATATAATTGTTGATAGTAGTTTCTGACGATCCTTTGTATTTCTGTGGTATCAGTTGTAAATTCTCCTCTTTCATTTCTGATATTATTAATTTGGGTCCTCTCCCTTTTTGTCTTGATGAGTCTGCTTAAAGGCTTGTCAATTTTATTTATCTTTTCAAAGAATCAGCTTCTGGGTTGGTTGATTCTTTGAATTGTTCTTTTTGCCTCTATGTCATTCAGTTCTGCTCTAATCTGGACTATTTCCTTCCTTCTACTTGCTCCGGGATTAATTTGTTGTTGTTTCTCCAGTTCTTGAAGTTGCAGTGTTAGGTCTTTATTTGAAATGTTTCTATCTTTTTAAGGTAAGCCTGTATTGCTATGAACTTCCCTCTCAGGACTGCCTTTGCTGTGTCCCATAGGTTTTGGACAGTTGTCTGTTCATTTTCATTTGTTTCCAGAAATTTTGTGATTTCTTCTCTTATCTCATTATTGACCCATTCATTGTTTAATAGTGTACTGTTCAATGTCCATGAGTTTGAAAGTGTTTGAAGTTTCTCTTTGAGGTTGATTTCCAGTTTTAATCCCTTGAGGTCCGAGAAAAAGTTTGGTATTATTTCTATTTTCCTGAATTTGCTGAGGCTTGCTTTGTGTCCTATCATGTGTTCTACCTTTGAAAAACTGCCATGAGCATTTGAAAACAATGTGTAGTTTTCTTCTTTGGGATGTAAGGTTCTATATATGTCAGTTAAGTCTCTTTGATTCAGTGTGTCATTCAGCGCCACGATATGTTTATTAATGTTTTGTTTGGAAGATCTGTCCATTTTTGACAGTGGGGTGTTGAAATCCCCTACTATCAGTGTGTTGCTGTCTATATACTTTTTGAAGTCATCCAACAGTTTCCTTATAAACTTGGGGGCTCCTCTATTGGGAGCATATAAGTTTACAATGTTGATGTCTTCTTGATAGATTCTTCCTTTAACTATTATAACGTGCCCCTCTGGGTCTCTCTTTATGGCCTTTGTTTTGAAATCTACTTTGTCTGATACAAGTATGGCAACCCCGGCCTTTTTCTCATGCCCATTTGCTTGGAATATTTTTTTCCATCCATTTACTTTCAATCTGTGTAGGTCTCTTGCTCTGAGGTGGGTCTCTTGTAGGCAGCATATGTGTGGGTCATGTTTTCTTATCCATTCAGCTACCCTGTGTCTTTTGATTGGGGCATTTAGTCCATTCACGTTGGAAGATATTACTGATAGAAACTTACTCATCTTTTCTCTTTGTACCTGTGTTCCTCTCTCTCTCATTCTTTTCCTTCATCTGCTTAAACCAGTCCCCTTAGCATATCTTGGAGTGCTGGTTTGGTAGAGATGTATTCTTTTAGCCTTCTCTTGTCTGCGAAAGTCCGTATTTCCCCTTGTATTTTAATGGAGAGCCTAGCTGGGTAGAGCAGCCTTGGCTGTAGGCCCTTGCTTTTCATGGCTTGGAATATTTGTTGCCATTCCCTTCTGGCTTGTAGTGTTTCTGTTGAGAAGTCAGCTCCTAGGCGTATCGGGGCCCCCTTGTATGTTACTTTCTCCTTCTCCCTTGCTGCCTTGAGGATTCTCTCTCTGTCTTTGACATTTGCCATTTTAATGATGATGTGTCTTGGAGTGGACCTCTTTGAGTCCTTCTTGAGTGAGGTCCACTGTGCCTCCTGGATCCATGAGAGCCTTTTTCTCCTCTAATTGGGGAAATTTTCCATCATTATTTTTTCGAGGAGGTTCTCTATCCCTTGCTCCTCTTCTTCTCCTTCTGGTATCCCTATTATATGGATATTATTGCATTTCAGGTTGTCCTACATTTCCCTAAATGCCTCTTCATTCTTTTTGAGCCAT